AAGTCTTGGTGGCATATCGTCTGGGAAAGACGTCTTTTGGTTGAGATATCGGGTGTTAGCGAAGTTTTCAGTGAGAGACTGTTGCGAGCAGGGGGGATGTTAGATATACTCGCAGCAGTATCTGGTCGTGAGGATCCCAGGGGATACGTGTTGGAAATTTCGTGTGTAGTAGGGTACCACCGGTGCAGTCACGGGGATCCTTTTGGCGTGGTTGGTGCGATGGAGCTTGCGTGCTTTTTGCGCACTTCTTCTTCCCTCTCTCTCTCCACCACCACCACCGTCTCTCTCCAATCAAGTTTCCTTCTCCCACTCTCTCTCCAACTCTCTCTCAACCTCTCTCTCTCGGTCTAACACGGCCGACCACCCAGTGCCCCAAGTAACGTCCAGAACGTGCTTGCTGCACCCCGCGTAGTTTACCTTTCATCCCAGTGAGGCTGTAGCCCCACGCACCGGTCGCGGCCTTCGTAGCTATTGACAATGGGTAGAATCGACCCAAGGATGTACTACAGTAAACCTGCTACAGGGTGTCCTGTGGGAGGCAGGTGCCAGGCCCAATGGCGGGGAAGTCTGTGCCAAGTATCATCGATGACCTATGCACAGGGCGGCCGGGCGTCTTTTGATTGGTAAAGGCTTACCCATTAGACTAGTCAGTTGACTTAGTAGTCTAATGGGTAAGCCTTTACCAATCGAAAGATACACTCTCGGCTCGTAGAATCCCGGGCTGTGAGGAGAGATCTNATCAGCCCGGGATTTGAACCTGTGCGTGTATCCTTTGATAGCAAGTCACGCTTTTCTGGGCAGCACAAGCTTCATCGTGTTTGTCGCTGTTGAACAATTCGACGCCGTCGCCTCCAACATAACCCTAACCCGCGCTTGTGAATAGCCTTACCACATAGAAGCGGCAGCGGCAGCAGCAGCGGCAAAATCAAACCTTGGCTGCCACAACAAACGACGACAAAACTACTATTATATGATCGTCTAAAGACTATAGCGCTACATGATGCTAAGGGCCGTTTTAAACTGACCGACTTTGTCAAAATGTTTGAAAGTGTCAAAAAATGGAACCTGTATGTAGGCGTTTGTCCATATTTTTTCAAAATATTTGGAACGAAGTTGGGCGCGAAAACTTTGCTCCACTTCGTTCCAACTTTTTGACAACCCTCTCAAAGTATTTGGAGCACTTTCCAAAGTACCCTTGCAGAGGCACGCGAGGGCTGCTGCGTCTGCACCACGAGTGCCCCTCACCGTAGAAAGTCAGCTAGGGTTGTGTGTGGGTCATGGCCGACCGTAGAAAGCGCGGCGCGCCTACAGATTCGAGCGGCTCTCCTCGCCCACGGGCACGCGCAATACAAAAAAAAAAAACGGCGGTCCGCCATGATGGCTTGCAGTTGTTGCTTCGCGTCCGCCGCTTTGTTTTTTCCTTTTCCCGGGGGGGTAGGAGCAGTGGTTGCCACCCCTCGCCGGCGGAGTGTTGGTGGCGGCAGCGCCTCCCGTGGTAACATGAGTGTTCCCCGAGATGCCAGGCAGCAGCACTATCTTGCTGGAGAGCAAGCCTCCACCGCCTACGGCGGCACCGAGAGAGCCCGTCTGCTGGAATTTCGCCGGGGTTTTGGTCTGCCGGCCACGCTGGGTGGTCGTGATATCCATGTCGGTGTCCATGATGTCGTGTTTTCCGCGGTTTGTGTTGTGTCGTCTGTGTTGTCTCGAAGTGAGCGCTACAACTCACGGACGGCGTCATTTTTTTTGACACAAGTTGCACAAGTCTACGTCACACGTTTAAAATGACTGCACACAGGTTCCAAGTTTTTGAAAGACAACAGTCGAAAATTTTGACAAAAAAGTCGGTCCGTTTAAAACGGTCCTAAACACTGATGTACATACCATGCTGCCGACGACGACACGACCACCGCTACTGACAGCAGTACAGCAACCAGCAATTATGGGTTCCAACTAAAGAGTGTGCGTTTAATCCAACTTCAACGAGAGTTGGTCTTTTGGACGCGGTTGCACGGTTACAGAAGACGTCAGCATTGCTGGCAGCTCCACTTCCTGAAGGAAAGAACATCCGATGTTCCCGCACCTGCTTCACCGGCTCTAACTCATCGCCTTTGTTTGACTCGGCAACCCACGTCTTTGCACTTGCACATGGAGTTTGAAAGTATCACCACGCCTCCTCACATACTACTCTTCATTCGTTCCTTCCGGAAGCACTACATAGTTCTCTGCAAGCGCAACTTATTGAAGACGTCCCTCGAACAGCCGACCCGCTGCCACCGAGGTTGCCTCGGGAAAAACTTTGTTCACACCGCCGCTGCTGCTGCTGCTGATGCTGCCGCTGCTGCTTCTGCCGCTGCTGCTAGTCCCGAACGACGATCTATAGAGGGGTTCATCGCCCCGTCGAGACAACGAGGGCAACTTACCGCCGGCTGAGATTCACGGATACTCGACATTATGTCCTCGGAAGGCGCTGCTATCCACACTCACCCCCTGTGGTGTTGAACGGAGCAGTGAAGTACCGTTTGAGCTGCCCCCGCTTGCGGTATTGCATGATTCTACGGACCCCCTTAGTGCGCGGCGCAACTCCACACTCCAGAACTCCGCTGTTGGCACCCACTGCCACAGCAGCCCACTGCTGTCCACGCTCTCTGTCGCCCTTCTTGCTGCTACTCTCAGAGTCATAATTGCTGCTGCTTGGGTACGAAGAGGATCTCCTGGCAGCACGCACAATCCATCCAGGTAACTGAGGGATCTTTTGCATGCGTGTCAAGTGGACCCCGCTTGAAAGACACCCCACGTTTTCCCAAAAAAAAGTGTGTCTTTAAAATTCCGGGGCCACTAACGCACCATCCCCGGGGCCAATGATGAAGGCGAAACATATGTCAAAAGGTGCGCATTCGCAGCAGAAAGGCGACCACAAGAGGTGTTGTTTGAAACCTACGACACAAGGTGATTTGAAGGTCGCAACCACTGCTGCTATTGTGCTGCAATACATACTTGCATACCATCGTTTGAATTTCCCCGCACTGCTGTACCACCAAAACGCTGAAAGCGATGGTGTTCTACGACCTACGCATCGTACATGTACACGACGGTAGTGCGCTGGTGTTGATATGGGCTTAATTATTTGCTTTATTTTATTGTTCAGGCGTTGTCCTCCCCGTGAATATCTTGCCCAAGATCTCGCTACCGCACCTGAGAAATATCGAAGGTTGTAAAACGACACTAGGAAAATGTAGGTTACGCAGGAACACAGAGACCAAAAATGTCGGGAGAGCACGCGACAAAGCGGACACCGCGCCTCCCATAAGGTCAAAACGAGGCACAACACAACACAAACGCCAAATTCAACCTCACGAGACTTCACCCAAGGCAAACAACGAACGTGGGCAATAAAAGTGCTTTGCTCTCGAAACAAAAAACTACTCCCGCCACATATCCCGAAAAGTCGCCTGCACCTCCCTCCCCCCCTTTGCTCTTCGCTTGAGCTGAGTTTCATGAGTAAACAAATGCACAGTCTTCGAAAGAAGGTACGCCGTTTCGCTGTGCTCGCCGTCTCTTCCATGTGTGTACAACTACGAGCGGACATCTTCGGGACGAGAGCGAACCTCGCCCTCTGAAATCGTTGATGCATGCACGACTGGCCTACCGTGATCGCCTTCCACTTCACTGGCCACGTCCTCCTCGACGTGTACGTTTGACATGTTCTCCGTTACCTCTTCCATCTCGAGTTCTACCTCATCCCTCAAGACCTCTTCATCGTCCTCTACACTAAGCCAAGTGCGCATTGCGCTGCGCACTTCTTCTTCTGTGAGGCCAGAGGCGCTCTCGACGAACAAGTTGTCCGTCAACACTCGCGGCTTAGACCTAGCGTCCAGGTCCTTGGCACTCTCTCTGCTGTCCGTGGCCTTCCTCTCCGATGCCCCGACCACAAAACGCGTGCATGGGTCGCCCGCACGGACACTGATGAACCAGTGACACCAGTGCAAATGTGAACTGGCACGTCGGTTCACCGCATGGCTTCAAGTCGGCAGCAGACGAACCGCTAGCAGATGGAATGAATCTGTCCATACACCCACACGCAGTGTGCGGCTGCAGTAGACCGCTGTTGATGATCCAGGATCTACAGGTGCTGCAGCGCATTTTCTGGGGGGGGGTCGAATGGTGGAAAACCCTACCCCCCCACTATTTTTCACATCTGCGGGGCACCATGTAACTGAGATTGTTTGTTCCTTAAAGCGGGGACGACTGTATTGGCTTCAACGTGATCGATTTACCCTCGTGTGTAAAGACGGCTGCAGTCACTGCTGTGTGTGTGAACATGTATCTACATGTAGTGTATAGACAGAGGGCGGCCGTTCTTCAACGTGCTTCATCCAGCTCTTCGTTCCTCGTGACTGCTGTGTTACCGCGGCTTCTTGCGACCCATGCACAAGCAGTACTCGAGATCCTCCCTCACGCTCACGCCCCTTCCCATAGAGCACCTCCACGAGAGACTTTTTTCTACGGGGAGAAAGCTAGGCACAGGGGATGCCACTGCAGCAATTTCGGCCAACAGACCGAATCTTCCCACTTCGTTGGTTTGAGGTAGAGCAGAGAGCGCACCCCACACGAACACGCTTAAAGCTTGCTGCCTGCTCCAGACGGCGCCCTTAGGGTGGGTTGTGTAGTCTTCCTGGCCCTACTACAGTAGTCTTTGTCACACAAAACTTCAAGCCAACAATACAGTATTCTGAAGGAGTAACGAGCGTGGAATGTAGGTGGGAAATATCGCGGGTGAACACGAAAAAAACGGTTGTCCAACATGCATTCAAACAAGCCTATGAAAAAGGAACGGTCAGGCCCCCGCCCCGGGTGCTTCAAGGTACGACTGTGGCCGCAGTACTCAACGTTTCGAGAGTTCAAGAGGTTCCGAACAACCCCATACCCGTAAGGAATAGATCGGTGTAGCGCTACGGCGTGGTCTGTGGGCCACAGGACCTAGTTTTTGGGTCTCACTGTCCCATTCAAGTCGGCGATCCGGTACATATCCACAACGAGAATGCCCAAGGGAATACATTGAAAATCGACTTCGTACCTCTTGGGTCAAGAGTAAATGCAAAAAGTTGCTGGCTCCCAACTGCTGTGTTCACTTTCCGTCCGCGGAAACGTTGGGCTTCTTGGGCGTTTAATCCCGTACCTAACTTGCTCGTGAAACGATTAAGCCCGACATCAAGAGAAGGGCTAGTTTTCTAACGGAAAACCAAGCACTAGTGGACCGGATCTTCCTTGTAGTACTACATACTTCAGACAGCCGAAATAGGCAACACAGCACGCCAGCTGCTGCAGTGCTTGCAAGCAGCTAGGCTCCCGTGTGCAGCAACACGTGCAGCGACGCGTGCGTGATGAGCGCATAGATCCTGCTACTCAGTGTGGCGAATAGCTTTCAGATCGGTTGCTCGTATCTCGCTCGACGGTGAGGCGAAAAGGTCTGCTGTCATTTTGATTCACAGCAAATTCAAAGACAACATAGTTTCATCTTTGTTTTTCTATGTGGAACAATCAAGTGGAAAATCTCCGACAATCTTTGAGTGGGAGCAAAAGGCAGTGTGATTTGTTCTCTTGGGTCCCACATGATGGTGGAACCTTGAAGACAGTTTCCCTTACTCATTGCCTGGAGGTGAGCTTGCTCTCACTCAGGTTAGACAAATCGCAAGACATCATGAATCAAAACTGCGAGGGTTTTAAAGAGCAAAACGAGAGCACGCGATGGCTAGCAAAGGACAAGCAACTTGACGAAAAAAATTGATTCTTGCGGAAATATGGTTCGTTGTACAGCATGGTCTCTCATCCCCACTCTCTCGCCCCGGCAGTTGTATATGCAGGGTGAAAGGTAACGACAAAGCTAGATAGCCAAACTACACGGCCACAGACGGAAAACAACATCAAAGGTGGAAGCCCCGAAAGTTTTTGCTCCACCCTTGACCTGAGAGAGGTCAGAGATTGCTCGGCGTGTCATCCCCTTTGACGCCCATGCAGGTGATTTTTGCTGTGTACAGCAAACATGCCTCCTTTTTTGTTGAAGCAGACACGAAGACAAGTCTGGCCATGGGTCCATACGCTGATGCCTACCACGTATCAACGGTCTGAGGGTGGCTGTATGGTATAGGGCAACCTCTGGCGGTCCCCCTACCGTGGGAATTACGTCTGCAGTCGTCGATATTTCGCTTTCAGGCGTGGAACGTGCTTCCTCCTCTTTTATGTGGTTGTTTAAAGGCATCTTAACGACTTTTCCCGATTTTTTTCAGCGCTATATCTCACAAAGAGCCATCTACATTCCACACACGTTACTCCTTCAGATTCCCCTTTATGGCCTGGAGCTTTGTGTGGCAAAGGCTAGTAGGGCCAGGAACATTATGAAACCCACTCTCACCGCGCCGGCTGGAGCAGGCAGCAAGCTTTACGCGTGATTGTGTGGGGTGCGCTCTCTGCTCTGCCTCAAACCAACGAATGGGCAAGATCCGATCTATTGGCCGAAATTGCTGCAGTAGCATCGCCTGTGCCTAGCTTTTTCGCAGCAGCAAAAGTCTCTCGGGAAGGTACTCTATGAATAGATGGCAACGTACAGTAGAGCAAGATCGCTTCCTTGCAACATGATGTCCAGCAGCAGCAGCAGCAGCAGCAGCAGCAGCAGCAGCAGCAGTTCTCCACCATCAAGGGGCCGCACCGCACCTGTGCGATCGACGCCGCCCGTCGGAGAGGACGGCCGGGCGGCATCGATCGTGGCCGTGTGGTGCAGCCCCTTGAAGGTGGAGGACTGCTATGCTGCTGCTGCTGCTGCTGCTGGACGTCATGTTGCAAGGAACGAACTTTCGAACACAGCAGCCTCGTTGCTGGCGATCGTGGCGGCCGTCCTCTCCGACGCAAGTCGGTCGGCGCCAGCAGCGGCAGCGGTCTCGAGGTTCGCCGTCGTCCCTTTCAAGCCCTCCACGTCGTCTCGCAGGGCTTAGGCCCTGCGCGACGATGTCAAAGGGGTTGCAAGGGACTGTGACCAACCTGACTGCAGAATTCGCGCCGCGAAAGTGCGCACGCGCGAGCGTCCACACTCGCCGTACGCCAAGAGCTAGCGTCATGCGAGGACGACATGGCAGCGGTGGAAAAGGCGTCGTTCACCCTTCCCCTCTTGGCTGCCGAGAATGTGCAACTCGGAGGTGCTCTCCAGCTTTGTATACAAAGACCAATGGGCGCCTCCCCAAAAAATTGAATCATGCCCAATCGACTAAAACGACTTGAAAAATACCGTGACAGGACTCTGTACGAAACGTGGACGGATTGCCATTGGCTATACATACCAATCGTACACAAGTGTCTGCATCAAAGCACGATTGCTGATTGGTTGACTCTACCTTCCAGCGACCAATTCTCGCGAGACATGTGGGGACTTGCGTCGTTTTCGGTCGTAGTAATTGCGATGGGCAGACCGCAAGTGCAGCGTGCACGCAAGCAGTACTGTATCTCACGACCATCGGGCCGGCACTCATGGGCATGTGAGTGTTGGTGGTTAGCGGGGGGGCAGGAAGTTCTCGTTGGAGCATTTTGAGGCGGACAGGGCGTGAGACGGGGTGAGAGCCATGAGCTTTCTGACTCAGATTTGGACTGATGGGTGTGACGGATGTGGTGGAGCATGCGAGGGTGACCCCATGCACCGTTCGGCACATTTGTAGGCCAGGGGATGGGCGAATGTTGCATCAATTAGAGATTTGCAGGACGGTAACGGGCTGGCTGTGTTGGGGCTGACGTATTGGCTGGACAGGTGCTTGCCACCCTTGCTTTTTCGGCTCTTTTTTCGGCAGTATGGGTGTCAGGGGGGCCCGTAGAAGCTGGTGATGGGTGCACGTGATGTTTTTTTTGGAAGGGTAGGGTGCCAGCTACTCGCCCCAAAACACGTAGAAATAGTCGGAGAAAACCGCAAAACAGCTGTATACGCCACCAAATATGAAGAAATGGGTGCAGAGAAGCAAGTTGTGTGCGATAGAGACAGACCCCTGTCATTTTTGCCTGGCGTGTGGCACCTACCGTCAGACTTGTTTTATATTTTTGCATGTGCGTCATCTCACGGTGTGCCTTGGGTAGTTTCTGGCTCAGGCTCACTGCTGTCAGCGAAGTCCCAACCGAGGGAGGGGGATTTTGAGGGGATGAAGAGGGGTGTCTTTTTCTTATTTTCCTGACTGCAGATCACTTCGGTAGTTTCGAATAGAGGTTTCTTACGCCTACACCGCGACTGGGGCATCGATTGGCTTCGTTCCTTTTGCTACACCCTCCAGAAGTTTTGCAGCTACAGGCTGATCCTTTTCTCATCGCCAACCGTGCACTTGACGGCGAGAACGTTTCAAAACACAACTCGTTTTTGTGCCCCTTTTTCGAGTCAATCAAATAGTCTAGTCAACGCTGGCACAGCACCTTCCTCCTTCTCGTTCGTTTACCCAACTGCAGCCGCACACACCCTTCACGACATGAGCACCTTCCCCGACCGTGCGTCCCTGGAAGGACTGGAGATCGAGATCTTGAAAATAGTCTCGAAGGTGCCACGCCAGAGCAGTGGGCCGAGTGGCTTCGGGTGCCGCTCGAGCACGCCGCCGCACAGGGCAGCCTGGTGCTGGTGGACAAGTTGCTCGGAGCCGGGGCGGACGGGAGCGCCAATTATAAGGGCTGTGCCGGGCGAATTCTCCGGCAGGCTGCCGCTGTCGGTGGAAGCAAAGGCGTGGTGTCCTCCTTGCTTCGAGCACGAGCTCAGCCAGACGTGAACGAGTTCGTTGATGATTTGAGCGTGCTACATGAGGGCCATCAACCCTTTCCCAACTTTCGCTCGCCGCTGTACCAGGCAACACTGAACGGCCACGAGGCTACTGCGAGGCTACCCATTCTGGCTGGCGCGAATGTCAACTTCGTGGACCTCTGGGGAGGGCATAGTGTACTCCACCAAGCTATTTAAGGCGGTCATGAACGGCTCGCGAACGAGGTGATTATGAGCGGGGCGGACGTGCGGGCACACGACTCGCACGATCGCACCCCTCTTCATCTGGCAACTATGGAAGGCTTGGACGGGATTGTCTCCCCCCTCGTGTTCCGGGGGGTGGACAAGGATGCAGTGGATAAATATGGACGTTCTGCGTTAATCATCGCGTCCTGTGTTGGTGACAAGGCTCACTCGACTGTCGACGAGACTCTTTTGGCCGCTGGTGCTGACTTAAGCATCCGAAATAACTTTCGAGCTTCGGCTCTGGACTCGGCTTCTTTACATGGGCACGTTCCCACTATACACGCTCTCGTTCGGCATGGGGTGGCAATTCTTGTGATGACCGCGGCGACAGCGCTCTGCACAAGGCTGCTTTCCAAAATCAGGCGGGTTCGGTCGACGCCCTGATCGAAGCGAGGGCGGACATGGAGATGAAAAGAAATGGGGGAGCCACGCCTGTGTGGATCGCTGCACGTCTCTGCTCTCCCAATGCGTTGCTCGCTCTCGTGCTGAAAGGGGCATGCCTTTCTCGACGCGGAGACCTTGTAGCAGTCGTGGACCTCTTGCTCAGATGGGGCGCAGATGAAACCGCCGTGGACAACGAGGACCACACCCCGGCGGAACGACTCAACGACGTGCCCGGTGGCCGTTCGTGTTCCCAAAAGACGACCATCGGGCGCAGCTTCTGCTGGCCCGGGCTCCCGCGAACAGGGCGTAGCGTCGCTGCGGCTGGCTGGTCATGCTCCGTGCACGCGCTTCGACGGCGAGGATCGCTAGCTGCGACAGCAGTAGCGATACCCGCGTCGAGAGTTCGGGTGCGGCTGCCAGCGGAATGGGCGGAGGTCGTAGGGTGGCGAGGAGGGAAGGAGAAAGCAAATGTTGCGGGTGGTGAACGCGAGCAGGCCGGCAGCGGGGTTGATGACGTCGAACCCGAGAATTCGGCTGGCAGTAGGGCCGTGAGGGGTACTGTGGGCTGGCTGGTGGGCAGCCAGCCTGAGGGAGTGTTTCGGTCGGTCCTGAGCTTCCTGTGAAGAGGATGGGCACAGGACACTTCACGTGGTGAGAGTGGCATGTTTTGGAGGAGCGCAATACAGCAGTCTTGTACCCGCAATTGTTTTTCTGAGTTTTCCTCCGCATTCTGATTTGCGTTCATTGGGTAGTGAGCGTGCATCCCGGCTTGGTTAGGCTCGTCGTTTTGGCCTGGTCTACGGCAGAATCGCAAAGAAACATGCTGCTGGCGTGATGCACCGTACACGGTCCTCTCGCAAGGACTTGCTGCGCGCCCATTCTGTGTCGCATCTCGAACTCCCTTCCAGATGGTGGCAAACCCGGGGTCTTTCCACTCCCCGTCTTGAATAACGACCACAAAGCCCTCCTGGCATCCTAGTTTCGTACATTTTGGGGATAGTTTGTTTCGAACACAGAACCTCGCAACCAAACAGTATTTTGCGCGGTTGGCCATGTCGGGCATGAGGGAGGGGTTCAACGGCTGGTGTGTTCAACGCCGGGCTGGCGGTTAGCCATGTGCGCCGATGCTGTGTCAATGTTACTGAATGAACATTTGTCGCTGCCGCCACTGTCGCTCGAATATCATGTTCAACCAAGGAAGATGTCAGCGCAACGGCACGCATGGATGACAGGCGGTGCTTCATCTTTGGGGCAAGCTCGTAATACGGGGACCTCCTTTCGTTTTGTGCTGACCCTCGAGGGCTGTGCTTCCAACCAGCAGGGGTTGCGGTCGTCATTCTGCGGGGTGTAGCAACCACGGAGCGATGCTTTCTGGCGCGTATTTTGGATTTTGCTCATCTGTGGGACGCATGCTAGGTTTCCTCGGGTGTTTGCAAGTTGTTGCTTACAAGCTGGCCCGGAATCCAGGGGCTGTCGGCCGGTGCACAGCAGTTGTGGGTCTTTGCGGCACTGCCTCAACATTTCGCTTCGCGGACTGTTATGGATGTAGCCGTGGGTATATATTCCTGAGCGCATGGCAGCTTTGATCGCCAGGGTGTATCGTAGTTTTGGCGTCAAGTTCATCCGGACGTTCACTTCAATTTGTGTGCACGTTGTTCTCGTGCCATTTGTGGGTTTCGTGGTTGGAGGACCAAACGAGACAAGTACTTCTGGCGGGACGCGATGTCCGCTGGTTTCTCGCACCCGGGTTTGTGGAAGTGCAGCAGGGTCGGATATGGTTATTTGATCGGTAACGTTATAGTTCATTTTTTGTCAGGCTACAAATGGGCGTGCCCAGGCTTTGGTTTGGCTGAGGCAAATGATGATTCCCTGCCTGAACATGGAGGATGATGGCCTTGCGGTCATGCAACAACGCGATCTTAGGCGGTGCGCCGTCGAACCCACCTGCAGTCACTTCAACCGCCAGTTTCGTACTTAATCAAACCTTTCGAGGTTAACTCGGGGGCTAAGGGGTTGGCTCGGGGGTGGGCTGAGGGGAGGGCTGAGGGGAGGGCCGAGGAGAGCGTTTGGTGACAGCCCTGGTACTGGCACATTCACGCAGCAGCTTGTCCTCGCCTAAGCCTGTGAAGGCACCCTTTGGCTCGTTGCCCTATTGATCGGCAGATACATTGTAAGAGATCGCGTTGAGTTTGAATGTTACGTTATGACTACTTCGCGTTTTTGATTGTTCACCGGCAGTGTCTTTCATGGACCCATTTGTCAATTTGTGATTCAACGATCACTTTGCGGACGACCACCTAGAAGTGACACCCGTTGGTGTACCGGATGGGAACGTCAGCCATCAGAGGTCTTGAGCCGAACACGTCCTCGTTCACCGTGCCTTTTCCGCGCGAGATCCACCTGACAAGTTGCACACGTTGGTCGATTCCAAGGGGCTTCGTCAGAAACTTCATTGCAGACTCGTTGTACCACCCGTCCAACCTCAGGATGGCCTCCTGAAACTCTTCGAACGTGTTGAGCTCGGCAGTGGTCGAAAGGTTGCGACGCCAGATGGCATCCCCGCCGCTAAAGCGCGATCCGGAGATGAAAGCTATGTTCAACTTCGCTTCGTTCACGGTAGCCATGCGGCACTACCGGACCAAAGTCTCCTTCGCCCCGTTCATCTTCGAAGAAATCAGCTGTTCGGCGCAATTCAGGGGGGCTCCGTTGACGACGAGGAATCTCTGGAGGGAGGATAACACTCCACAGTGTCCCACCTCGTGCAATGACCGCTGCTGAGCCTGAAAAGCGGATTTTGCACGAGGTGACCCAGGCAATGAAGAAGACCCCCAAGGATATCGAGCGTCTTCCCTCCCTCGCGGGGCGAGCCATGTCCAAGGGCTTCCGCTGGGGATAGCTCGAGGAGGCCATCGTAGCGGTGGCCAAGTACGACCATCAGCAGGCAGGCGTTGCTCTCATCAGGTGAGAGGGCGGTGTGTCATGTTGTTTTCGTACCTCTCTCTGTACATCTCTACAAGGCAGCGATCGAAGACTCCACCCTTCTTTCCCGTTTGGTCACCCTGACCATCAAAGTCAGGGGGTCTATACCCCCCCCCCCCCCCCCCCCCCCCCCCCCCCCCCCCCCCCCCCCCCCCNCCCCAATGTTCACCATCGGGGTTGGGTTTTCGTCGCTTGGCAGAGATGTTGCAAAACATGCCGATCACTTCGTGAGCTCGGCAACCGGGCTACTGCTTTTTGTTTTGCGTGTGTTTTTTGGGGGGGGTTACTATGAACGGTAGGCGAGTAGATCATGTTGTGCGGGGTCGAAAACCCTCGCTCCGCGCGAAGGGGATGATCGCACCACGTTATGTTAAATTGTTCAAGCAACCTCGAGGCAGTTTCACAGTGCTTACAATTGTCTCATGAAGTGAAAGCACCAGAAAAAAAATTAAGTCATTCGCAGCTGTCATCCGTACGCAAGGAAGTAAGCAGAAGATGCCGAGCACCCTTAGCAGGATGCAGCGCTCTCTTCTTGCGACTTGCCGAATACCGCACGGCGCTTCGCGCTTGGTAATGTGAGAGCCTGGTCCGGTGGGAGCCCAGCGTGCTCCGTCCGCGCCTGACAGGGATGCGAGGTCAATGGTCTAACGACTACGGCATGCACGACTACAAGTACACCCCCCGCCCCTCCATCGGAGTCAAGGTTGGGAGCTCGGTGGGAGTCATACATCGTGAGCCTCTGTGCTCGGTGCCATGTACAGTAGACTAGATAGAGCATGCGTGACTGCTGTGGAACTACTGCTGCTGGAGTGCACACTATTTACATATCTCATTATCCGGTACGGAAATACCGGGGTGCCCGTTCGTGGTGTGCCGTTTGTCAATGATGGGGGAGTTTCCCGTCGATCGAGCTGTTTCGTAGAGGTACAACACGATGTGCATTCCTACTTATCGTTTGGTACTTTACCGCATACATGCCGATTCCCTTTCTCGAATTTGTTCTCAGGAGCCTTCCGGGAGAGGTAATGTCCAAGGCGGCGAGGATTTCTCGGGACGTGAGGGTGAGTCGTATCTCGCACATCTACCACTACAGTGATGGAATGTTGAGTGCGGTATAGATGTCTCCGGCAGTTCTCATGAACTGCTTCTTTAGCAAAGGCAGCACATGTGAACAAATACTCTTCTGTGGAGAACATTCGCTTCGCGGTAGAACCCAACCCCATCGCGGTTTGTGTGAATTTGCCATGTCACGGGTCGCTATGGTGCACACTCGGAGGAACGAACTGTTTGCGGCCTACGCCACTTATTTATCGGGTGAGACTGTTTTGGTGATGTATTCACTTCGCAAGAGGTCGACGATCGTCCTTCACACGGACGAAAGAGGGAGTGCTCAAAAAGCGGCTCCCACACCAAGGAGGGGCCCCGTGAATCATCGCGGTGCCCCCTATCAAACGGTTATCTTACCAGTCTGCGTGACACAAAATCATCCAGCATATGTATCCAACAACAATGTTCGCAGACCCACGAACACGAACGTGGTACCGTGACACCGCCGTGATGAGTACGTGTCCTTCCTTCAGTGGACCCCCGCCTCTCCCAATTGATAAACCAATCACAGCAGTGTGTCGCAACAACCGTCAAGAACGCCGCAGCGTTATTGCCGCTCTTTGTTGTGGTTACGGTTTCCTTGGAGTACTATATGGGATGACTAACATTGTCGTCCTTGAGTTTGGTTGCCGTAGCTGTTGTCGTTGCTACCGTGTGGCTGTCTGTATAAGCGCCAGCCCGTCTATCGTTGATGTTCTTATTCTTATTGTTGTCAGCTGTGGTCCCTAACCGTTTAGATCCAATGCCTGGCCACTCTGGCTGGCGATGACTGTTGAACAATGATACTGATGTATTATTGCTTGATAGGCGTGCCCCGCCTCGGCCGCTGCCTCCGTCATACTATCTAGTCCTATGGCTGGCACAACGAGGTTGCATTCTTGGTTGAGCCTAGGCACTGCGGAGAAAATCAAGCTAGTTGTAATGCCCCTTGCTCCGACTGGCCGTTAGAGTAAAGTGTTCCTCTGTAGCACTACTGTAAACCGTTTTTTCTGCTCTCAGAGGGATACATACAATGGGTGTGTCGGATGACTTTTTCGTGCACCGTTGGATGAAACTTTTGGTGAAGTGTTTTGGTTCAAGAAATGATCTTGACGATGTACATCGTGAAAAACCAAGACCTGATGTATGTACCATGACTCTTGCCTGATTTTGCTGCCTACACCGCAATATGTTCGTGTTGAGCCAAAGTCTGTAGGGTTTGTATTGAGCCAAAGTCATTGTAGGAGAAAAAGCGTCCTGACATTTTGAGCCGGTACGAGCGTGTCTCTTGAAAACGTTCTTGGTCATCATATTAGCGGCTCGTGAGCCCTTTGATACATGTTATAAGGAGTACGCGACAGTGAAAATGGTTGACTTTGGTCTGAGATAGGTTTGTTTGGCCTTCTGCCTCGTAGTGCCTCCTCTTCGAAGCCATCGACCATGGGAGGCGGGTCTTAGGATGTCCTCCAGTAGTGGGTGGCGTTCGTACTTGTTGTTACTCGCTCGGGCTCGGAAAGTATTTCTCGCTCTGTGAGGGACAACAAAAAAAGTATTCCGGCACACAGCTAAGATGTATGTGTTGAAGGGATATGGTTTTCGTGTACCCTTTGGGTACGGGACGTTGTCTGTATAGCCTTGTGTGTGCAGTACTTCTCGTTGAAGCTGTTGGTGGTGGTGGTGTCGTTTGGTGCCGAGTGTTGGATTTGAGAATGAGGACATGTCCTCGCGCGGCCCTGTCCGTTTTCGGGATGAGCTTCGGCGATCGATCGATGTAGTCTGCGCAACGTGCGCTGCATACTTTCGATGTTTCAGTAGGGGTTACATAGGAGTTCTTTCTTCAAGTATATTATACTCTAGTGCTCCAGCGCGTGTGCGACTCACGAATTGATGGCTTTCCACCGCAATCCGCAACGACGAAGGAGGAGGAGCGGGTTCACTCCAGCGAGAGTGAATGGAGCCTCAAACTGCTACTAATTGAGTAGTTCGACAATACAACGTGTCGATCGGCTAAACTGGGGAACGAGTGCAATACCTATGAGGTACGAACACCCGAGGTATCCACAACACCAACCGCAGACCGGATGTCGCGGCTAGGGCGGGCGCTCCACCCACGCGAGGTCGCTTCAATTAACTGTTGTCCTAATCTCCCTGGTCGCTGAAAGTGAATTGTTCTTGAGAACAGCTAGGGTCGGAACGAGTGAACCGTCGTCGCGTCCTAGAAAGTGGAACTGCGGAGTCGAGAGAGGCAGCGCAGATCGCAGAGGAAGACATGATCTCCTGGTGCACGACCACGGATCAGAGAGCGCTGTTCACATGGAAGGAGGCTACTGTAGCGCAGGGTCTATAGCAATCACGCTATAATTTTCTGATTTTCACTCCTGTGTCGCCATGTCATCTGTCGTGTTGCCCTCGTGGTCATTCTTTTTCGCTTCTCTCACTCATCTCGCTCCTATTTCATCATGTCCAAGAGCCGCCACGTGTGATAAGAAACAGTCATGTACAGCACAGCTTGAAAAGATGATGCGAGTTTACAGGAAAGATGGATGAGCGTTTACGTACTCTCCCTCCGCTGTTGTTTTCGCAAAAAAAAACGTTCCGATCTCTGCCCAATACCCCCGTGGTCACAGGCTAATTTACCCTGTACTCGCGATGTTTGGGGTGCAAATCATGGTGAACAACAGGTCTCCTACCACCCACAACGAAAGCAACAGAGACTTGCAACCTGGAACGAGTCCTCCAGGTACAACACAACGCCTTCAACCTGTGGCCGCACGCCCTCCACGATCATATCCCGTGAGTTCTGCTATCCGTCTGAACAGACCCATCAGTCCACAACACGTCGTCAAAGGTGCAAAATCATTCGGGATCGGCAGCAACTCTGACGGTGCCGGTGAAGCCACAAAAAAACAAAAACGGCAATCTCATTCCTGAACACTTACAAAAATTATTCTTCAAGTAGTGCAGGAAGGAGAATTATTATTGCTGATTTCCACCTCGTCAAAATCCCTACCGCCCTCCCACCACCGGCAACCCATGGAAGAGTGTATCTTAACCCTGTACACAACATTTACCTCGTGTAATCATCATGGCAAACAACACGAAAGATGGAAATTTACATGATATAGATGAGAGACAGTCTCTTTCGCACTTTCACACAAACGAAGGGCGTGCGCGCATCGTCTCGAAGGAGTGGCACCACTGGTGGCCACACCCCGAATACGCCACTGTCGTTGACGATGGCGGAATGCGAAACGCCACTATGACTGTTGACAATTGGCCAATCAACAATGCAGGGAAACCACGCCGTCGGCAAATAAATACCACCGCTCCCAACGTCTTCAATGCCGGGTGCGTGACCCGAAAATGACTTCGTAGTAGGGGAGCGAGGCTTCAAAGGCTTCAACCACCCGTGTCAAACTTCACACACAGCAGGCTGGGTTTGAGCTTGGACGAGGAGCGCAACACCGTCGTCAACCTCGTCAACCTTGTCAACCTCGTCAACCTCGTCAACCTCCCCCGCCGAACGCTTGTGCAAAGTTGACCCCGTGGTCGTCCTGCGGGAACAACTCCTTCGCCCACTGAGACCTCGAACCGACGCCCGTGTGATAGTCCGCTCGCATCCGCACGAACCCCACCAGTTCCTGGTTGCCAGATGGAAGAAAAGTTATGTAGTTGATCACGACGATGGACACTTTTAGTTCTCTCTGCCAGCCTCGCCTTGGATATCGGTCACTGCTTTTCATGCGTGTTGGAGATCATCGTCGTCGTCGTCGTGTCTGATGCAGTTGGTTAACGCCAATATTGGAAACTAACTACATGCCAACCTGTCCCACGGTACCTCCAGTAAACCCACAACTCCTTTACGCCGACACACATGACGATTGGTGTTGCATCAACTGCCCTATATCAATGGTACTACATGCACATGCAAAAGGAGAGGGGCATGTATGCCGTGGCGCAAGTTTATGATAACTATTGATGGAAGAGGGGAGCTAGCTCCTCGCATCCCATAGCCATAGCCGATACCGCGTCGAGGAAGGCTAGGTAGAACGGACCTAGTCAAGGGGCTGTGACACCGCTGCAACAGAGAAAGGTTTCTATTCTTCGTACGGTTGCGGCTGAATTAAGAATCTCCGACCTTATTGAGAAATATTTGCCATCCCAATGAAAACGAAGGGGCCGGGATCGGCATTGTGAGATAGCATCGCATGTTCCTGCTGATCCCACTTGACGCATGTCATGCTATGTTTCATCCCGCACCAAAGCCACACACACCCCCGGTCAGGCGATGGGGGCAAAGTACATGTGGGTCCCACACAAGGGCAGGAAATCTGAGCTCTGGAGAAGCGTGTGGTACAGAAGCAGCTGGAGCAGGGAAGAGTCATGAGCAGAAGGCCTAATGGCACCCAGCCCGCTAGAGTAGAGAGCCCGAAAACAACAATAGAGGCAACGACCACGGACAACAAAAGACTCAAGAGGAGATGCTGACGACGACACAGCACGTACCTCCTTGCCCATTTCCGCTAGCCTTCCCTGCTCCATGAGCGACAGCAGGTTTTCCGGTGGCACGACGTAGAGGTTGGCAATCTCCCGCAGCTGCTCCGCCGCCGAGGTTACCCCCTCGCACCCAAACCTCCCCAACACCTCCTGTGTGCGAAGGAGTGAGTTCACGCCAGCACAGTCAGTAGAGAGTGAGTGAGAGTGAATAGAACACAAGTATAGAGTGAGTGAAAGTGTGCAGTAAATGAGTGAGTGAGTGAGAGGGTGCGTGAGAGCACACTACGGGAGTGAATTTAGAAAGAATGCGAGAGCATAGCAAACAAATAGGAAGCCTGAGTGTGAGCACAGCGGAGCAGTGAGCAGAGAGTGAGTGAGTGCAGAGCAAACGGACGAGTAAGGAGGGAGGGAGTGCACCGCAAAAGAGCAGGAAGTGTAGCAGAGCCGAGCAGTGAGTAGAGAACGTGTGAGTGCAAAGCAAATGAATAGGTAGGTAGGGAGGGAGGGAGGGAGGGAGGGAGGGAGGGAGGGAAGGAGCGGGCGAGTGAGTGATTAAGTGAGTGAGTGAGTGCACGACAGGACAGTGAGGCTAGAGTGGGTGAGCGCACAGCAGAGCAGCGAGTAGAGAGCGCACAGCAGAGCAGTGAGCAGAGAGCGCACGAACGCACAGCAGAGCAGCGAAAGGGGCGTATGAACAAATCAACAGCAGGCAAGTGAGAAGAGAGTGCATGGGCACATAGAAGAGCAGTGGGTGCACGCATAGACAAGCAGGAAGGAAGAATAGCGGGGTGGCGGCTTGGGATGGATGCGGTCGGCCAGAGGCTACCAGAGCGAAACAGAAAAACAAAAAGCGAGGGCGAAACAGCAGGAACACACGCGGCACGCACATCCATTTTCCGATGAAGTGACTCGATGACAAAAGTCGAAAATTGTATTCTCCCTCTCCCTCTAACAGAGCACCACACACCATTCACATACTGCTGGTCGGAAAAAGAGTGACCTCGTTGGACATTTCAAACCTAGCGGAAGCAGCCATTATCTCCATCGTCAAGAAGTACCGTCGTCAAGCAGAGGGGAACTACGGGATCGGAAGATGTACAGGGGAGGCAAAGAACAAACAATGCGCATGACACGGCCACCATAGCTTGCATCCCACGCTCTTTCTGGACGTCATATCAATACGTTACCGTCGCCTCCCGCCCGGCCCATCACTCAAACATGGTATGGCCGCTCCTGTAAAACGCGCATCGCATGCAAATACCCCGTAGGTGCCGAAAGCCATCATGAAGCCAGTCGATTTGCCGTCGCTTTCGAATGGAACACAGCAGTCAACTCCGTCGCGTGTGTTGAATCACCGACGAGATAACCATTAGCAATTGTGGCGGTGTTGAAGAGAAGAAAGAATAAATCACACACAAACGTGCAACTTACGCGAAATTTCATCATTAAATGGTAATCACACCAATCTGCTGGATCGATGAGCAGACAGATAGAACCACACAGGACACCAGCAGTGTTGTCTAGCCATGCAGCGTACAGAGGCCCGCAGCAAAAGACACTCGGCCGTTGCCTCCCTATCGTATCGTATGGTGTTTACCTGAAGGCGGTTGACGTCGTTCGCCAAAATAAAAGCACCAATCACGTTGACCTTCGTCTTCTTTAGGTGCTCCACGAACAACTCGTGAACCTGCCGAAGGGCGGGGGGTGGAGTAGGCGGAGGAGGAGGTCATCGTCATCGCTAGCGAGGAGCATGTTGCCACAAGACACTACCCGACAAAGGCCGAGACGCCGAATGGCACGATGCGCTAGCGAGGCAGCGAACGATGTTGCATCAAGATCTGTGAGGTCTTTTATCGGCAGGCGAGCCACCGCTTGCGCATGTTGGGGTGCCGCGCTTTCTTCCGCCATGTTTCCGATCTTCTCCGGATTAGGTTCAGATTGTTAAGGATTGTGATACCAAGCAGGCAGGAATGTGCCCACCTACGGAAGGCACTTGATCAATGAAATCCGCACATTCAAAGACAAAACCCACTCGAACAATAAGCCACAAGGAGAAACCTACTGCTCCCACGCGCCAAGCATTCACAGGAGTAACGAAAAAATGCGCCGCTAAGAACAGGCAAGTAGAGTTAGCTGCCACACGATAACGCAACATCGTGCACGCAAACCGTAGAAAAGCTTCAGAGGCTTCAGGTTACGGGAGAGGCTATTAGCTTCCCCGTCCTCCGCTGCGGGTGGTACGAGGTGATTGCCCAAGTAGGGCGTGAATTACCCCTACCAAGTGCAACGTGAGCAAGACAGGCGAAAATCTGTCGAGGGTAGGGTAGGGTAGCGTAGGGTTTGGGACGTGTGTGGTAGAGGACCCAGAGATTCGACTGTCATTGAGAATGTCAACCTCGGCAAAAATCAAGCTACCAAACCGAGCTCCACCAGCGTTTCGAGTTCCCCACTCACCTTACCCCTACCCTCCACAGGCTGAAGCCACAGCCTCGGCAAAGCTAGCTAGCCCTTCCCAACAGCGCTACATGTATCAACAGAAGAACAACTCACCCGGAGTCCGACGCTCTCCCAGAGCATGCGGAGGTCAACTCTTTGGTCCACCTCCTTGAGACACTCTACGAAGACGCTGTGTTGCTCTTCCAGCACCGAGGACACCGCCTGAACGGTAACGGTAACGGTAACGGTAACGGTAACGGTGGTCATGGAGAGAAGGCGGCAAAAAATTACAAGCATCAGAGCGGGGAGAAAAGAGGAGTGGAGGGAGACCTTTTTCCAGTCGCAGAACGTAGAAACTGGGCTCGAACCAATGTCGGCACCTTGTAGCACAACGTACCAGGGACAGCGCACTCAACATCGTATCGTATGTAGGCATCACTACGGGAGTATAAGGACCCCCATGGTGTTTTCGTTTTGACGCTCTTCGCGGTGGTGTCCTCGTTGAGGCAATAGTAGAAAGAACTCCAACAAAACAAAACCGAGGCCTGAAAACCACGGCCATCTGTAGCACGCTAGGAAACGTCAACAGCGAGCAAAAGCACACAGTTGTTGTTGTTGTTGTTGTTTTTCTTCACATTAACTCGTGTCAGTTGCTAATCCCAAAATCTAGCAAAGACTCGGTCCGTGATCACAAAAATGCTAGAGCCATCAGAAGATCTGAAGAACACACAAACTATTAGCAAGGAAAGGGTACGCAAGCCCGAGGAGGTACACCTGCAATCCCTGCAGCACGTTTGCGTGCTCACAACCGAACTACACGCCCACACACTACAAATCGACTACAGCAGCAGCATCACCCCCCTTGTCCCGCATTTAACCAAAATGCTCGACTACAGCGTACTGCTGTCTGTACAACAATAACACCATGGTGCATGGTACACAAGCTCGGGGCATGGAGCTGCTGTCTGAAGTGCTGTCAGAATGAGCTCGTGGACATACAATAAAGAAGAACGCCCAACCAAAGCCATCATTGCAATTGACAATCACCCGAATCATCCAGATCATCTGTGTTAGGCACAGCAGTGTAAACATCGACACTGACTAGGAATCGTTCCACATTGAAGGGGTCTTCCACGATGCAGGTACAAAATTAAGGCACCCGGGTTATCCGCGCCATCTCTGCCGCGTCTCTCTACAAAACCAGCGACGTCATCACACACACCCAACACCTGTATTCAGGAAAACAATCGGAAAAATGATTGACAATACAAGAGATGTTTGTCCGTGCGCCACGGTTCNTCGTGGACATACAATAAAGAAGAACGCCCAACCAAAGCCATCATTGCAATTGACAATCACCCGAATCATCCAGATCATCTGTGTTAGGCACAGCAGTGTAAACATCGACACTGACTAGGAATCGTTCCACATTGAAGGGGTCTTCCACGATGCAGGTACACAATTAAGGCACCCGGGTTATCCGCGCCATCTCTGCCGCGTCTCTCTACAAAACCAGCGACGTCATCACACACACCCAACACCTGTATTCAGGAAAACAATCGGAAAAATGATTGACAATACAAGAGATGTTTGTCCGTGCGCCACGGTTCGATGCCGTCCGCCTGCTCCGGTTCCGCTGCTCCGGTTCCGCTGCTCCGGTGCCGCTGTGGCCAGTCCTAGCACGACCAAACTCGACCCGCTCCGCTTCGTACACGCTTTCGTTGCTGTCCTTCCCAGTCGGTTCCTCGCTTTCTCCCTCGTACCTTAGGGTTCTCGGTCGGAAGATTCTCGCGCCGAAGGGTCAACCAGCCCAATCAGCTCGTCACCACCTGTCCCCTCCTCCTTTGATGGCAAAACCAGGTTACTAAGACAGTACAGCTCCCTCTAGCAAACCTAGGGCCGTGTGCATAGTGCCCGTCCACCTTTCTAATGACGTCTGCCTCCGCGCACAAAGATGAGATGGGCATTGCTGCCTACACCGACGGCCTGGGGGCCCGCGCATCTGCACCTTTGGACCTGACGCACCAGTGCCGACCCAACTCCACCACTACGCACGCCTCGCGGCGGGTGCGCCGCAGCAAGAAGGTATCGGTCCCCTGAGGGTGAGTCTAGCCCTGCTCGCAAGAAAGACCCCCCACCTCGCTATGGGTCATGCCTACGCAAAACCTTGCCGAGGCAGCGAGGGGAAGAAAGGAAGTGCATGGGCTTGGGATGACGCAAAAAAACAATCTGAACAGCTAAGGCAACAACACGTGTCAACACCAACAACAGCAAACCTTGACGGTCCTGGTGGCCTCGATCGCGGCGCTCTCCTCCTTGGGGCAGTAGTCGCTCTTGCTAGACCTGAGAGACATCTGCTTCTCCGCGTACAGGATGAGCAGCTTCATCGCGTCCTCCAGCACTCTCACCGTCCACGCCTACGTCATACGCACAGAGTTGCAATTGTCAATTGGAATTTTGCAGCGGCACTCGTTGCAGTAGCATTCTGAGCAGCAACATCTCTAGCAGCCGCACTTTCAGCAACAGCAGCAGCAACAGCAACAGCAGGAGCAGGAGCAGGAGCAGGAGCAGGAGCAGGAGCAGGAGCAGGAGCAAAAAACGGCAGCAGTGGTCGAGTGGCAGAGGTTGTGAGCATCGTGGTCGTGTGGCGGATACCGCAGTCTTGACGTCAAACAAGATCATGTTCACGATACGACTGCTGCTCTGACTTCTCAAAATTAACCAGCACCTCGATATACTCTTGCCGCCGCAAAAATATGAAGAAGAAACCCCGATTGTGTGGACGAGCTTGTCGAGAGGGGTCAACGATGGCCAACAACAAGCAGCCCGATTCCCGTTGAGACGACGAAGGCGTATTGAGATGTCGGGCTCGATCGACCAAGGGCCAAAACAGCCCAAAACAGGCAGCGTACCCACACCCACAAACACATTTCGATATGTGTCAGAACGAACGGCAGGAGGTAGATGACGGCATGATTAAATCGAAAATTAAACGACAAAAGACTGTCGTAGATGACAGGGTCGGCGAATGCGGACGCCATCGGGAAATGGAACGAAAAAACAAACCTCACAATCACGCCTCACAGCAGTAGCGCACTAGCTGTGTGGCTGTCATCCCTCCATGGAGGATGACTGATGTCGTATCTCCTTGTTATCGCTGTACTTGCCCATAACAAACACACACGCACCATCAGGGCATTCAAACGATAGAGGTATGCATACCTACACGTAAACACCATCAACACCGACAACGAAAGCGTCTCCTGACTAAACTAAGAAATGTACTCACGTCTACCCTGTGCAGGAGGCTCTTCTTGGTCTCGCTGGCGATCGTGCGGAGGGTTGGCGTTTCCTCCATTCCCTTCGCCACAACCTCTCGGTGGTGCTCCTCCAAACCCGCCGCCGCCTTCGACGCCGCCTTCACCGCCTCGTAGAACTCCTGCCGGGTTTTTTCCGTTGCCGGCATTTTCGTTGCGGTCCGATTTGGGGTTGAGAGCTGGTTCGGGGAACCAACCGGCTTGGGTGCTGCTAGTTGAATCAGGGATCGGCTATGCTAGTTGTCTTCTCCCACAACGAAGCACATGGCAGACGAATACAACAACGTGCATCACTAAACATTACTATAACACACAGAATGGAATCGAAAGTGCATGTACTAGCACTGATCTGTTCCACGTATCAAGCTGCGTAGTTTCATACCGTACGCCACACGCGCGTTCGTTCGTTCACCGTCCTCATAACAAGAACTCTTTGTCATAACCATTGCACATCAACTTGTGTTTGCTGTGTCCAGTGTTGCAACAAAGACGCCTAACTCGCCGAGGTGCACCGTCGTGGTAAACAAGAGAGGTGCGTTGAAGTCGGTGTGTGTTCATTCGATCACGATGATGACCTTCGACAGCAAACTGTGCTCGGGCAAGGTCGGTTTGGGCCGCTGCCTCAACCTCCCGAACTCCAGGCATTGACCGATCGGTTGGCTATTTCGGGGGACCCGCACGACGAGACCCACACTTCCTCGTGCACAATCCGATCCGTACCGAACCGTACCGAACTGTCAGTCATCGCTGTTGTATATGGACCCGAGCGGAGGTGACAAGTCCCCAGTAAACGAAACTACCTTGAGAAACAACATCGATCGGCGCCGCTTCAACACCATCGCCGCTAAACCGCCACCAGCTCCACTCACTCTAGGCGGGAGCTGCCCCGCCCCGCCTGTCATCTCCCTGAGCGCCGCGCTGGCCGCGTTGGCCGCAGGCTTGGGCAAAAGGTTGTTCGCGCACCTCAGGGCCGGCGTGAGCAGGTGATCGGCGAGGTAGCGGCACACCACTTGGAAGAACTCGCATACCTGTACAGTACAGCCGTCATCGTCGTTAGGTCGTGTCACGCCGTGCCATGCGATCATATGCTCGGTCAACAACTCTTCGAAATATCTGGGGCGAGAATGATGGCTATTGGTGGACGGACACCCCACTCTGTCTGGGACTTGCGTGTGAAACGAGGTAGGTCTTCCGCTGGCAAACACGTTGGGCATCTCTGCGAAATGTGATTCATTCAATTCTTGGAAGCAATGATGTTGTTTAACCTTTCGCCTCTCCTTCGACGCCCCTCTCTTTCCATCTCTCAGTCTCTGTCTCTAGGCATCTGAATTCTTGTTCTACCTTGGACTCGTCAGTTTGCGATGCTTCGTGAGCGCGGCGTGTTTAAAAACAGCAGCAACAAAAACGACACTATCAACAATATCAGCGGCAACAAAAACACTTGCCTTCTGCTCCCGCTCCTCCTCTTCCACGATGATGGTTCGGCAGCGACGGATGGTTTCGGAGCTGAACGAGAATACGCCTCCCCAGGCGGACGGCCGTAACGGTCCGGATAGCACCTGGAGGTAGGAGCCGATCTGCGCAAAAAACAAGCACATGCACACGACAAGGTCGACAAAAAACAGACATGCAACCACATGCAGGCGAACGTCAAGAATAAATATATCGAAAGCAGCAAAACATAGCACATGTGTGAAAAAAACACCTGACATCCACCGTAACGACGCATCAAATAAAAACCAAACACAAAACAAAATAAAGGAGACCACAAAAGACCCGAAGTCACCACTGATCGGCCAACGCATTTGGCAGCGATTAGTGCACAGATGTGCTCCACTCCCCCATCAATGGAGATTTCATCAACAACGACTGGAGCCAGAAAAGTCTTTCGAGCCCTACAGGTATGAATCTCTTCCGTCAATCCCCTACTCCAACGCCTCCCTGAAGACCCATCAACCCCATGAACTTGTCGACACCGAGAAACACGTAATACATCACACATACACACCATCCCTCATGGCCTCGTCTTCGTGAACGGCATGGGAATGCCACCAGCCACACGTAACCCCCCTCCCTCCGAAAATACTAGATGATATAGCGCCCCCTCCCCGCCCCTGACCTTGTCATCTCTAACGGCAGGAAACAGCTCCAGCCCCACCGCAACCGCCTGGCCCGCCGCTGCACGGTAGTGTAGCATCCCCTCCCACACCGTCTCCGACGTGCCCAGCAAGCTCTCCAGGAGGTGCCGTCTCTCCTTAACGGCGTAGCTCACGCGGTGATCGAAGAACATGTGCTTGGCCTGGCCCAATTGTTATTGTTTTTCACAGACAGGATAGGATAGGATAGGATAGGATAGGATAGGATAGGATAGGAAAGGAAAGGGTAGGATAGGACAGGATCGGATAGGATAGGATCGGATCGGATAGGGCAGGATAGGACAGGATGGGATAGGATAGGACAGGATAGGACATGACGGGATAGGACATGATGTGATAGGACATGATGGGATAGGATAAGATGTGAGACAAAACACATGAACGAAACCTAACAACAAAACAGAGACAAAGGTCCACCAAACGGTATTACAGCAGATACTAGAATCCCTGACGGATATTCCCACTTTTGCTACGGTTGGTTTACCCAGGCCGTTGCTGCAATTTTGCGGTCACCGAGGCGAGAACAGCATCAACAGCATCTACATCACCCGCAACCGACCACCATCGACTGCCAACCAGGGGCGACATGGGCTGCCAACCAGGAGGCAAGAGAAAAAGACACCATCGCAAAAAGCAAAGGTAACATGGTACCATAGCTCGAAAGTGATGTCACACTGTAATCATTCCTAGATGACCCATCCAAGAAAAGTGAAAATGTTTGAACAAAAACACCAAACCGACTCTCAAACCCACCTGTTCGTCCAAATAAGCGCGCAGCGCGGCCATCTGGCGAGATGTCTCCCCCTCCCCCTCCCCTTCCCCTTCCGGACCCGCGGACCCCCCACCCCCGCCGTCTTCCTCTCCTCTTGCCCTCCTTGCGACAGCGTCTGAACCTTGACTGTCTTCGTCGGAGTCGCTACCGTTGTCGTTGTCCTTGTCGTCGTCGTCTGGGTCGACCGCATCGCCTGCGCGGATGAAGTCGTGCTCCTGAATTGCACAACAAGAATCGAAACCACCAAAAAACTACCGCAGTTAGCACCTCGTCGAAGCTGTTTACACATCAACGCGAGAGAAGTTATGCATCACCATGGTACCTCTCTCTCTCTCTCTCTCTCTCTCTCTCTCTCTCTCTC